GCATCTTTTCAACTATCTCCTCTGTGGACTTGTGTGATTCTTCCTGTTTCAGAATGCATATGATGTCTTAAGTTACTCCTCTTCATGTTATCCAGCATGAATCTTAGGCCTTCTTCAGTTTTTTTTTTTAATCCTTGTTTTTCTGTTTGCATATCTTAGTAGTATTGAGAGATTTGTCTTCCAGCTCACTAGTTCTGGCTTCCATCTCTTCAATTCTACTCCTTTGCCCTTTCAGTATATTGTCCTTTTCTGATATTCTATTAATCATTTAGACCTCTTTTTGTAGGTTTTGAATTGTTTTCAATGCTGTATCTATCTTATTTGATTATTCCTGTAGTACTTTTCTGACTTTTTCCTTATTCTTGTCAACTCCTCTGTAAAGAGTTTTGATAAATTTCATTATCACTTTTCTGAATTCATTTCATGATCATTTTTCTGAATTCCTTCTCAGACATTTTCAAAGCCTGCCCTCCTTCCAATATGGAGTCAAAGTCTACCTCCAGATCATTTTTCTCAGTCACTTTGTTTCTGGACATGTTAAGAGTTGGTCATCTGTTTCTTAGGCATATTCATTCACTGGCTGTGACCCTAGTAGCTTGACTATATGAACACAATTGCTGTCTCTCCTTGGATAATGTAGGGAAAGAGCCCCCTTAAAGGTAAAGAGGGGACCCAAAAACAAAGCAGCAACAGCAAAAAAGACAGATTGGATATTGTGGTCTTTATCTCCAAGGATGAGTTGGCCATCAGGCGTCTGTGGTGGCTCTGATCCCTCCCCCACTCAGTTTCACCCAGGATGGCTGCTCAAGGAATCACTGAGGTAGGCAGATTCGCAGGCACTGGAGTCTCTTGCTTCTGCTAAAAATTCCACTGGCTGTAAGACTTCAAAATCTCGAAATGTCTGTTTATATATGGTTCAGAGTTCTGGGACCATCACCTGAACCTGCTTTGTCTGGTATTCTGTGTTATTGCTGACAGAGATCCTCACTGCACTTCTCCTGATCTGCCATCAAGCCCCTTTTTGTAGTTTTATCTTAGAGACCACACTGAAGGTATAAATCCCTGAGAAAACTGCCAGTTACTGCACTACTAGTAGCTAGTTTCTGTGTCCCATAACTTACCAGAGAACCCCCCTACTTTTGAGTGGTATTTATGTTCTTATTCTACAAGTAATTTTGCCTAAAATTCCCATTTAGGGGGAAAGAACAAAATTCAGAGATAATATTCTATGTTTGTTCTTAAAGCCATAGATTAACGTCCAATGCTCCTCCTCCAAACTTTTTAAAAAAAAATCTCTATTTTCATGTCAACGTTTCTGCATTATTAGTACAAGGGGCAAACTATCAGTGATTTATATGGGCTTTTTGCCTTCTAAACTAAATTGCTTATCTTAATCAACAATTTATCAATGACAGAGATTTGACCCTACCCACTGAAGAATTAAAGGAGCCCTGGTGGTATAGTGGGTAAAGTGCAGGCTTACGAACTGCAAAGTGGAGGGGTAGTTCAAACCCACCAACTGCTCTGAGGGATAAATAAGAGGCAGTATACTCTTGTACAGATTTACAGCCTTGGAAACCTGAACTGCAAGGTCACTACAAAGAAGAAAGATGCTTTCTGCTCCTGTAAGATTTACAGCTTCACAAATTACAGGTGGTTGAGTCACAACCGACTCTGAAGGCACACAACTGAAGAATTAAGGTGGGTTAACATAGAGCACTGCTATCAGGATTTGGACACCTGGTATGGTACTGTAAGATTATCACTGGACTACTAGCTACAAGGCTGTATAGGGTAGCCTAGGTACACCAGCTGTTCCTAGATGACCGTATATAGGGTTGCTGTGTTAGAGATGGTATTATTCAAATTGAAATGTAAGCTTAAAAATAGCATTTTAAAGTAAAAATTTTGGGCTTATATTGTTAACCTCATTACAGTAAGCCTGTTCTTCTATTTTCTTTCTTCTTTAAATGCTTGGAAATGGAAAATAGCTCACAATCTGTTTCTATTTCTATAATCCCTTCCACTTTGGTATATTTTAGGGACCCTGGTGGCATGGTGGTTAAAGTGCTCTGCTGCAAACTTAAAGGCCGGCAGTTGGAAGCCACCAAAAGATGTGACTGTCTGCTTCTGTAAGGATCCATTAAGTGCTATCGAGTTGGTTCCAACATACAGCAACTCTGTACACATTTTCCAAGGAGTGGCTGGTGGGTTTGAACTGCCGACCTTGTGGTTAACAGGCTGGTACTATCCTACAGCGCCACACCAGGACTCTGTAAGGATTTACAGCCTTGGAAACCCTATGGGGCAGTTCTACGCTTTCCTATAGAGTGGACAAGTCAGAATAGAATCATCAGGAGTGGATGTAGGTTTCTGGTTTTGGTTGGTACATTTTACCTCTCTTACGATGTGCTTTAAGGAGCCCTGGGTAGTGTAGTGGTTTTACAAGTCAGGCTGCTAACCTAACATAAACTTTTAACAAGCTTTGGTAGTGTAGTGGTTACGAATCAGGCTGCGAACCTTAAGGTCAGTGGTTCGAAACTACCAGCCGCTCCGTGGGAGAAAGATGAGGCTTTCTACTCCCGTAAAGACTTACACCCTCGGAAACCCTGTACAGGGTCGCTATGGGTCAGAACCGACTCAGTGGCACTTAACAACAACAACAACTTAATTACAGACACACAGTGTTACTTCCTAGAACTTTGTTATACTACAGTGGACAGATAATGATAGAGAGTGTTATAAATTATCAAGTTGAAAAGAGCAAAATAAACAAGTGACATCCACACTAGAAAATGGGTTAAAACTGTTGAGTGGTCAAAGTCTGAAAAGTATTTTTTCAGACTTTAGGACTGATTTTAAACAGTTGAGCTACCCAGTGATGTAATGCTGTGTGAACACAGCAAAAAAATGACAAACATAGTAGCCATATTTTTAATTAAAATATAGTTTTATTAGATTTCTTTTAATATAAACATGAGAAAAAAAACCACGTAAGTTGTAGCATTCATTTCAAAATAAAACTGCGATCAATACTTGAGTTTCTAAGCTCCAAATCCATAAACACCATTTTTGAGGTGGTAGATTGTAATATTTGCCATAGCCTTACATATCCCTTATGCCTGTCCTTTTCAGGGATGGAACCTGCAGCACTCAATGAAATGCGACATTTTGCTATAAGGACAGTATTGCTGCCCCACAAATGGTTTGTATGTTGGCAATTCCTAGGATGTAGATTTGAGAAGGTAGGAGAAACAGATTTTACCAACTTGAGAAGAGTAATTTTTTTTTAAGATTTCAAATGTAGTTGACATTGTTATCAATTTTCTACAATTACTTATTCCCTGTCCTTTAAAGCCTGAAGTTATCGAGTTCCTAAGGTTTTGTATACGTTCCCTCTTTAAATAACAGGACTTGAAATGGGACAGCTACATGTATGTTAACATGTAGGAATAAAAAGTTGTTTCAGATCATCTACCACTATTAGGGTCCAATTTCTTTTATTGCACGTGCTTTACACTGCTCTTCATAATCTTCCTGGACCAAATCAAGCAAAAGAAACGTGGGCAGTCAGAGCAGATGAACAGTGTACAGCCCTGCAGACTAATGAAAAAGTCAAGTAGTGGGCACTTCTGTGGAGGTACAAGGTGTCGAAATAGTCTAAGTGCAATTTTAAGCTTTGATACCTGTAGAAGTATAAATGATATATACTTAACAAAATATCATTGGAAAGTTTAAATACGTAAGTTTCTTTTACACTTATTAGTTTTGTACATTTTGAAAATTCAAAGTATGAAAGAAACTAAACTTTCAAATGAGTTTTTAAAAGTGTGATAGCATTTATATTATATTTTTATGCAAATAACACAGAACTTCTACATTTGTCTGCACATGGCTCCTACTCCCAGGAGGTATTTTCTACCACTATGCCTGCTTTTTTTGTTTTTGTTTTGTTTTTTTAAACATGTTCCTGTGAAAACAAATAAACAAAACACCTTTATAAAAATACCCTTTTGGAGAAGGAGCAGTGGGTAAACAAGCCTAGAGGCTAGTATCATTTGTGTGCGAATACAGCACTTCTGCAGTGACCCTGGGGCTCCCTAGGGTACTTTTTTCAACTTTAAAAATGCACTAAGACTTTCAGGACACCTTTCAGCACACCTTGTGTTTCATTACCTGCTCATTATCCCTAGACCACCATGTTGGATAAAATTATGAAAATATTTTATAATTTAATACATTTGACAAGAAAAAATGATCAGAAAGTGAGAAGCACCATTACAGATCCCAAGCAATGCAGCCGGAACCCAACACAAGTAGAGATTTAGTAACTAACACTTTCTCAAACATGCTGAAATGTGAAGAAGTACTTACTGCTTGCAAAAAATATGAGTGACCGTGTTATCCAGCAGTTTTTTTGGTTTAAATCAATTGCCAATAATGACTAGCAGCTTCAATGATAAAGTAGGGAGGAAGTATCCTTCAACACGTAACAATGCTATCCTCTGCTTCAAAGTGGCTTTTTGAGTTGTTTCAGAGTCCCATGTTTTGATAGTAATACTGCATTGATTCTCAAGGTATATGCAGCAATATTTGGGGGAGGGGAAGTGAAAGGGTGATAAGAAAAATAGGGGAAACATAAAAGTTATATCATTAGTGTCTTTAAAGTCTAAAAGTTTAAATAATTAAAAAAACTTCATACTTCACAGCTATCAGCCTACACAGTAAGCAAATATCTGTGTGTGGATGGGAGCTTTCACTTTGGAGTGGTTTTTGTAACTCTGTTTACATCAAAAAAGGACAGAAGAGTGTGTTGAACTGACAGGGTCCTGTTCTTTTCCTATGGTGTGGAATCCTCACTGCCCATGAGTCCCTTGAATTCACAGTCTTTCCTTTAGATGAAAATACTAACTTTGCTGGTTTTTGAACAGGAGAGATGGTGTTTCTCCAGTCTTTGTCGATGAGAAGTTCATGATGGTAGGAGCCCTCATATGTCTCCTCTAAGAGAGGATGGCATTAGAGCGCTGAATACCAATGAAATTATCGGCGCTGAAAGACCTTCGCATAGCAGCTCTGCACAAGTCTTTGTATTTGTCTTCACACAATCTGGAAATGGCCTAAGAAAGGTAATCAAACAGAACACAGGTATAAGAGTTAAAAAAGAGAGATTGATTCCAACCTTTTAAAAAAAGTATCACCAATAAATAAGCCACATGTCCAGAGTCCTTTGGCCAGTCCATAGTTTCCAGAAGGTACTTAGGATAGCTAAGGTCTACATTGTCAGGTTGTGGGGATATTACTTCCTGTCAATTAACTAAGGCGCAAGGAGTAATATCCTTTGAGAGCTATAATTAAATTTCTAGAGCAAGAAGGTACATATTTTTTAAAACTTATTTAAAAACTGGACACCAGAGGTATTGACTGACTCCTAAAAGCAGTGTATCTATGACCTGGGCTTATTCAGTTGAACATAATTCACAGACATTTGTGCCAAATCAGTGTTTATTCAGCTATTATTCTGTCCCATCTTCATTAATTATAAACACACTAAGGAAATTTTAACGAGGCAGGCATGTGATGAACTCTGTTCCAAACCCATGGTCATTGTCCATTCCAACATGACCCTACAGGACAGAGCAGAACGGCCCCACAGGATTTCCAAGACTGTACTCTTTATGGAGTCCTGATGGAGCGCTACAGGATAAGTACTGGCCTACTGCCCATAAGGTTAGCAGTTCAAACCTACCAGCCACTCCTTGGAAACCCTGTACAGGGTCACTATGAACTGGAATCGACTCAACGGTACTTAACAGTAACAGCATTCTTTATGGAGGACTGGTGTGGTGCTGTAGGATAAATACTGGATTGGAGGTGGGTTTGAACCACAAGGTCGGCAGTTCCAACTCACCAAGCCACTCCTTGAAAGCCCTATACAGGGTCGTTATGAGTCAGAACAGACTCAATGGCACTTAACAACAACAATCTTTATGGAAGCAGACTGCCACATCTCTGTACAACAGAGCAGCAAGTAAGGTCGAACTGCTGGCCTTTAGGTTGGCAGGTGAGCACTTTAACAGCTGCACCACTAGGGCTCCTCTGAATTCTGTTGGCAGGTCTGAAAGGTTTAGTCCTATTATTCATACACAATAATTAATGGTACAAAAAATATTCATGGTTCTATTATGGTGAACCCTAGTGTGAAACTGTATGGTAAGCACTGGACTGGGAACCACAAAGTTGGCAGTTCAAACCCAGAAATCACCCTCTGAAACCCTATACAGGATTGCTACGAGTTAGAAACAGCTTGATGGCACACACCACCACCACTAACCCTACCATTACTAACATTACCCCCCCTACCCCCACCAAGATATGTCAAGTTCTTAAAAAGTTCGTGGAAAAATTATATTTGTCCACGAGCTTTCTCAAGTCCCTTTGTATGTGCTGTCCATTTCAGTTGTTGACAGTTTTGTTATGCACTTACCATTAATCGGGTATTACTTTGTCCTGCTGTGATCCACAATTTCCATGGAAAACCCATGCAAGTTCTACACCAAGTACTTGAAATACCTACACGTTATACATTTTAAGAATAAGCCACTCTACTTACCTATTAATGCTATGTGTGATAAACCCATAGGATTGAACTGTGGTATGTACAGTAAACATTCAACACGAATTTGCAAACTAAGTTAGTCAAAAGCAGTAAGTAAATTAAATATGGTCGTATAATTGAAGATACAATCTGAAGAAATTATTCATGTACGGCTATGTGATAGTTTAAAATGAGAAACCATTAAAATCAGATTAAATTTCATTAAAAATATTTTGAATTATGGTCACAAAAGAAATAGTATCTATGCTGTTTTTCTGTTTTACAATGTGGATCATAAAAGGCACAGGAAATATGATGCCAAAGGGTTAATAAGCTCTTCAACGTTTGCCTAAAAGCTTCCCGTTTGCCTAATCACGATTTAATATAATTTAGCCACAGATGTGTTGGCTTTGGTAGCTGACAGACAACCTCACTTAGCAACTTCACAAGCTTACCTCGAGGTTTTGTGCTCTTTCTTTGCTAAGAGGAGCAAAGAGAAAATTCAGGTTGTTGTCATCCGCTAAAGAGCGCAGGTCAAAGTAGTATTTGGCATAAACACTAGCAGGAACATTAATATTAAACTGGAGCAGCTCCAGAAAATGCCTTTCCATCTCATTCCTGGAGGAGGAACAGAACAAAACCAACACGGACCATTTTAGTCAATTGGACTACTTCAAATTATCATTCTAAATTCTGTTATGAAACAAATAAGGCTCCGCCACTAGATTAATACCCTCGTGTTCAAACAAGGCACAGCTATTTGTGGTCCTTTCTGCATCCCAGCACTGTGAGTTCGGGACGAGGGGGAAAAGGTTAGGGCCCTCTTATGTCCTCGTGCTGCTGACTCGGGGCTCATTCTTCAGAGTTCCATTAGTGCAGCTGTCCGATTCATACTCAGGCCCCACTATAGCGATCAGATGAAAGGAGTGATGTATGCTGTTTATTAGCTCTGAAGAACTTGCAGACATTTTCGCAGGGCTGATAACAGGAAGGGGCTTATTGAAGTAGAGACAAACCAACAAAAGGAGTGGGCATGTCACCACGGCAACAAATGGATCCATCGAGAGCCCAGGCTATTATCTCTGAGGGGGAAGAACTCTTGAGGCAACAAAGATTCATCTCAAATAAGTAAATAAATAAAAAAAGCTACATTCACTGGAAAGGGAATCCTCACCTCCTCCCCCAGTGCATGGGACTATGTCAGAGGGCAGAATGCAAGTTTCTGCTCACCCTAGGGTGACTCACTGTTACTATGACAGAGCAGGAAGCCCTTAAAAAAAAAAAAAAAAAAGCTTTTGGAAGGCAGACAGATCAAAGATAGTGTCATGGCTAGACTAAACCCATGTTATATATAATATGAACTCTCTCAGAGTGCTGGACTTGTAAATTCATGCAGTGTCTCTCCTGTGTACGAAAGGAAGCCTTGAGGAGCTGAGCACACACAGTGGACACGCACATGCAGGCGCACATGCAGGCACACGTGCAGGGGACACAATGGGATGACAGTGTCAGGAGCAGTCTTTTGATACATGAGCTTGCAGTCCTTTCTGCATCCCAACACTGAGTTTTAAAAATAAAAAAAACAAACAAACATCAAATTAGAGTGAACCTTATCACTTTCACAGTAATCATTTTAAGGGTTACTAATTAAAAATGAAACAAACATGATGTGTATTTAACAATGTATTTAGTTTCTTGGTCTTAAAATTTGTAACTACTATTCACTGAAAACTTCAAGAAATGTTCAATGTTCTCCTGTGTAGAGAGTAGTTTGAATATGAACAGAGATGTGGCTGTCTCATTTGTTAGACTTACAATCAAACTAAACCTATTTCCAAATTTAATTTCCTGCTCAGATAAGCCAAAAGCCTATAGAAATGTAAATCAGACAATGTTTTGATAACCAGCACCTAATTTACTACAGGAATAAATGCACTTCACTATGTCTTTTATAGTTTCTCCACTAGTACATTTTAATTGTGTAGAAATACCATACTTCATAGGATTAACATGTCTATTAATAGAGGTTTAATCACTGAAGGAAGGAAAGAAAAAATTATGCTTACAGAACATGCATCTTATTTTTTTTTAGATGACTGAGGTCTGGAAATGTAGTGGTTACGAGTCAGGCTGCTAACTGCAAGGTCAGCAGCTCGAAACTACCAGCCATTCCATGGGAGGCTAATGAAGCTTTCTGCTCCAGTTACAGTCTCAGAAACCTTATGCAGGATTGCTATGAGTCGGAACCAACTCCACGACGCAGCACCACCAACAGATGACTGAGCAGCATATCATTTACAGGCACAGTGCATTCTAAGTAAGCATTCTTACTTAAAGTTGTTCAACTTTACTGATTCACTTGAAAGGAAACAATATTTTACCAAGACATGTAGCAACTTCGACTAATAATCAGACCAACTGTGATTTTTAAACTCACTTTAGACTCACCATGAGACCACTGCAGTCAATAATAGCATGGGGACAAAGCAAATGCATATTAACCTCTTTGCTGTAAAGCTTCCTAATTTTGAAAGACCCTACACAAGAGAAGACTGTTATAGCCATAGCTCTTGGTGGTTCTCTGTTCATACTTAAACTGTTTAGGACTAGTTCTTTTATAGTCAGACCCTGTGCCTGGAGTTCACATATGTGAAAACCTACACATTTCCCCACATGTGCTCTGATGTGCCAACTAGAACCAAGGTCCTAGCCAGTTTAGTTGCAAGTTTTGAGAACATACCATCTCCCATCATGGTGGAACCAGTATTCCTTCTTTCAGGGGGCGAGTTTGAAGACTGATGACAATAGCAATCAAAGCCACTTTAGCTTCTGCAGTTTCCAAAAGCACTTCAATTTGTTGTAAATCCATTATGGGGCTCTCCTATGCCACCACACCCTTTCCTAAGTGACTGGCAGTAATATCACCATGACTCTATTTACCACATTTTCAAAGTGCTCATTTCTACCAGAGCCACTCCAACTACCAATAGGCACTGGTCTCTCTCCTTTTCATCAGAAGAGCCTCGCTCCCCTGTAAATACAGTGTGGGAATTCCAAATGGCAGCCTTATTTAAAGTTCTGTCAAAGGTAACAAAACCTTGTTCCACTGCCTATTAGGACCTTAATCATCTTATGCTACTCAATGTAATCAGAAATACCCTTTCATATTTTCTTCCATGTCACCCATAAAGGCACTTTCACTATCAAGGGGGCACCTGCGAGTCTGTGTTGGAATTCGCTCTCTATGGCTTACTCTGCCAGACCTTAGAGCCATCAGGCTTGACCAGAGAAGCAGCGCTCATTTATCCCGGGAATTCTGGGCTCATGTCAGCATGTAGTTTTCAAGTTGTAGCATTACCAAAGGAGCTGTGGTAACGGAGTGGAGCTGTGGTAACGGTAGTGGTTATGAGTTGGGCTGCTAACCGTAAGGTCAGCAGTTTGAAACTACCAGTCGTTCCACAGAAGAAAAATTAGGCATTCTGTTCCTGTAAAGATTTACAGCCTTGGAAACCCTATACAGGATCACTGTGAGTCAGAACCAACTCCACGGCACATCACCACCACCATTACCAAGGCAGGCTCCTGGCACTCTCAGCCAGTGCAATACCCTACCCACCAGGCTCTTCGATGTAGCAAGGGCTGGGTCTTGGCCCCACAATGATTCTCACACAGCTGGAGTAAAAGGAACTTACTTCCAAAGCCATCAGACCTATTTCTAAACACACAGAACACTGTTCATAAGGGAGGAGACAGGAACAAGAAGGATTAGAAACGTTTATGTGTAGCTCCTGTGTTTTATCCCCATAACAGTGCCCCATCTGCTTGTATCTTGGCTTCTGTCACAAAAGATCTTCAGTAAAGAAAGAGGGGAGGGGAGGGGATCAGCAAATGCACAATGTGTGGCTCAGGTTGGCTCTTTCTAGTCCAGAGGCCAACTAATTCCTTAATTATTGTTGTTGTTAGGTGCCATCGAGTTGGTACCGACTCATAGCTACCCTATGCAAAACAGAATGAAACACTGCCCGGTCGTGAGCCAGCCTCACAATTGTTGCCACGCTTGAGGCCACTGATGCTGTCACACTGCCAATCCATCTCACTGGAGGGATCTTCCTCTTTTTCTCTGACCCTCCACCTTACCAAACACGGTATCTCTCTCCAGCGACTGGTCCCTCCTGACAATATGTCCTTAGGATGAGAGACGAAGTTTGGCCATCTTGGCCTCCAAGGAGCACTCTGGCTGCTGCACTTCTTCCAACATGGATCTATTGGTTCTTTTGGCAGCCCATGGCACTTTCAATATTCTCCTCCAACACCGTAACTCAAAAGCATCAATTCCTTAGTAGTGGCCACTTAATCAAAGGCTAGAGATGTCCCCCTTAAAAATGGACTGGGACCATAAAGATACACTATTTTGTTCTGGTAGTCAGCTTATAAAATGTTAGCTAAACACCACCAGAAAAAAAACACATCTTAATTTATCACATGTAAAATGCTACAACAATAACACTTCAAGAACTACCAATTAATAATGGAAAATATGACTTGTTATACAACAGCTGGAGAGAAAGAAGTATGCTGTCTCTTATGCCTTTCTGTTCTCTGCACAATGTATCTTTAAAAATATTTATTACAATGTAAACATTATGGGAGCAAATGAGGTATCGGAAAATGGTTAGAAAGTTCACCAAAACCTTATACACTCACATGTCCTCCACTGTAATGTCCTTGAGGATCTGGCAGTAGTCCACATTCCATACAGCCTGATCATCCCAAACCTTGGAGGCAAGAAGAATGGCTCCCAAAACAATTCTTTTCCAGTTAGTGGGACAAATGTCGATCTCAGCATAAGTTAAAAGCCTTTCTAAGTAAACCTGCAAAAGTAGAGCACTGGTCTTTGATTTTAGTTCAGTTTAAGTGCCATGACAGAACTGTTATGAAAAGTAGCATCTGCTTGGGCTGGAAAATGCCATTTATTCTTATGTTCTACAGAGATTTTGCTCCGTCAACCAGAGCAAGACGCCAGATCCCAGTTGAAAGTCAAGATACCTGTTACCTACTCTGCTCATGCAGGTTTCCAGCCCAATTTCAGTCACAGAAATGACTGCACATCTTCGCCAAGGGCACCCTGAGAGAGGCACTCAGCGATGACCTTCTTATTCAAAAAGGGCAGGAGTGGGAATGAAACGCTTTTTTTAGCTGAAAGCCTGCCACATGCAATGTACCATACCTGACTAGTTGTTATGTCATGATTTCACAGGTATATAGTGATTAAGTATGTAAAACCCTGGTAATTTAGAGTGCATTCTATCTATTCCTTTCACATAACTAACCCTTTTGTGGCGCTAGCCTGATGATACAAATTAACAGTCAAGAGCGCCTCCCTGTGGCTGCTGTGCAGTGCAGCAGGCTGGGTAACCAGTGTCCGGCTGCAGGCTGGTCCGTGTTCATGCCCTTTGTAAGAAACACACCTGAAAAAGAGCCCCTATTTTTCACCTATCATGGAGTCCTGGTGTGGTGCTATAGGATAAGCAATGGACTGGGAACAAGAAGGTCGGTGGTTCAAATTCACCAGCCACTCCTTGCAAATTCTATACTGGGTGAATACACGTGGGAACCGACTAGATGGCACTTAACAGCAACACTACTATTTCATGATGATTCATTTTTCAGTTTACATAAATTTATTGGTTAAAAGGTGTTAAAAAAATCAAAAGACCTACTAATCTCTGACTCTGGGACACCTCTAAATCTGCCAAACGATTTCATGAATTCTACAAACACCTATCCTACAGAGAACATGGCAAGTTATCAGTTAACGAAAAGACTATAAAATACATCTGTTGACTTCATAGAGTTTCTATGCTATTTGGACTTTCCAGATAAAGCCAAACATCAGAAAGTTTGTTTTTAAAGAGTATGTTCACTGTCTACAGGCTGTCAGATTGAGTTACTGAATCTTTTTTATAAATATATATAAAATACATATACATAATTGCTGTTGTTGTTACTAAGTGCTGTAGAGTCGGTACCGACTCATAGCACCCTGTTTTGGGTTTCTGAAGAGTGGCTGGTGAACTTAAACCGCCAACCTTGCAATTCAAAGTGACTTTGAAGTCCAAAGCACTAACCCACAGCACCACACCAGGACTCCATATATATAATACATGCATATATATATATATAACTAAGATTTTGCTTCCACTCCCAAAACTCAGGGCTCTTAAGTATCTTCAGAGGCACTTAAAATGGATAATTCCTCAATTCCCTGCCCCTTTACTGGTAAACTTGTTATGTGCTGATACTCATTTATACCACTTGCCCTCCCCTCCTGTGCCACAGAGACTATTTCTTAAAGCCCAGTTGATCCTATTCATGCCCACTTGTGCAGAATTATTCTCTCCTTTTCAAGAATCTCTGCCAGAGTTTCCCTGGTACGTGCTTAAGTTGCTCCCCTCACAGCTCCCAGAATGTGCCTCTCGTTTTTCCCAGTTACCATATCCTGTGACAGTTTCTCTTCTCCCATTCTCTCCTTAATTGACTTTAGTGCACTCTACTGAAACTACTCTTCCAAGTCCGTCAAGTGCCTCTACGCAAAGCACAGTTCTTCACCCCAACTCTTTACACCACAGCTCCCACCCTCGAGTCTTCCCTAATAAGCCATAGTCTAGTTTCTGGTTCCAAAAACCTACGTAGTAGTCACCTGTCTCCAAATCAGCAGTTGCTGCTAACTTTACCTTCATCGAGACTATGACTTCTTATTCAGGTGAGTAAGTCACCTCTATCACTGCAACTGCCTCTCTGCTTTGCTTCCCAACTACAGTCAATTCTGCCCCAACAGCCAAACCAACCTCTCAAAGAAACAGCCCTTCACGTCCCAGGCTCAAGTTCTGCCAGAGGTTTCCCCAACATGTTGGGGCAGAAATTCACTTCTTTCCATGGCCTACAAGCTACAAGGCAGGCCTGAGAAGATGTGACAGCGCTTTCTCTGACTCCATCTCCTACACTCTCCCCTTTCTTGCTGTTTCTTGAACACACTATAATCACATGCTTCATCCTCTGGATCTGTACCCGTGTCCCCTCTGCCTGTCATGCCAGAAATCCGATCTCTGCAGAGTTACTGTCCCAGGGTTGCCTCTTTAGAGAGGCTCTACCAAAAATAACAAACACCTATAATCATTCTAGGTCCTGGGGTGGCACTGTAGGATCAGTATTGGACTGCTCCTCAGAAGCCCTATACACGGGGTCACCATGAATTCGATCTGACCTGACAACTTAACAACAAAATAGTAAGTCTATATCTTCTTGATATTACCATTACCTGATATATTCATCTTTGTAAAAGGAGTTGATTAAAAAGAAATACTATGGTCATCCTCAGGGGAATATATGAGAAATCAAGGTAACAATCTGTTCACAGAACTTACAATAATAGCATGGGTTTGGTATTTAGAGAGTACTCAGGTAATGAGGAACTTCTAGCTCAAATTTGTGCTCCAAGTGACTATTAGACGTTGCCTCTCTGCTACCTCACAAGTATGGCAAGTCTAAACATGCATCTAATGAACTTCTCCTTCAGCCCAGATGTCCTCCTTCCTGCTTGCCCATCTGTAGGTCTGAAGGCACTATTCTTGTTCTCTTCGCAAGTGCTAAACACTCACATGGCTTGAGCTCCTGTGCCTGATCCAGGCACCCCCATTCTCAAGCTTTATCTGGTTGCTAAGGGAGTTATGAATGAAGAATTCTTGCCCTCCAAACTGTGCCATTAACTTTCCTCTACTGGTTTGTTGCTGCGGCTGCTGCTGTTAAGTGCCATTGGGTCGGTTCTGACTCATAGTGACCCCTTTATAGGGTTTCCGAGGAGCAGCTGGTAGGTTTGAACTGCCAACCTTGTGATTCCCAGTCCAGTGCTGATTCTATGTGCCATACTTGGAGTCTATAGGTTTGCTGTAAGGAAGAGTAAAACAGTTCCAACCATCTCTCATCTGAATAGGATTTGTTACTCAAAATGACAAAACCTTATCACAGCATCTATACAAAGGTAACTCAGCAGGCTAACTAGCAAAGTCTTTCCAAGCACTACAATCTTGACCAACTTCAAGAGCAGGGGCAGGAGGTAAGCAGAAAAGGGTCAACACTCATTATCTACGAATGGGTAATGTGAGGCAATAGCTGTCAGTCAGGACAGACATCACAACTGACTGGAGACCAGAGCCCAGCATCACCTTAGACCTACAGTGAGTTCAACAAGGTGGTCTTGGTATTGTCCCCACTCCTGAACAGGCCACATAATGTGTGCATGTGTGCATACTTCATGTGCAAGCTGGGGCTAGGAAGTGCAGAAATCACTTCTGTGGACTTTAATAACAATGGTTTTGTGATGGGAAGAGCACGTTAACATTGTGAACTGTAATAGCTATTAAGCTTGAATGTGTGTACTTCAACTATCCTTTCATATTTCTCTTAATAAAGTTCTGGTGAAGATTTCAAGAACTTTTAATTGAAAAACAAGCCCATACTATGGTGCATAAGGCAGAAATTTCTAAAGGTACTTTTATGAAAGAAGAAGAAATATCTTACCAAAGTTACTATTGCACATTCAGCCGTTAGCTGTGCAGCACTGAAAAGAGTACGAACAAATCTGTAAATAAATTTGTGTTCAGGATCATGCTTAAAGTATTCCTCCGGAACCTTTTCTCGCTGAAAGAAGAAAAAATACAATGTAAGTATCCACTGAAGAAACAGTCTTCAGTAATTTTAAAGTGATCCACTGACCTTGCAGTAAGCAATCCGGTCGGTGCTTATACTAAGTCACACCAGGGCTTCAAATTTTAAGATAGCAGTGTTCATATCTGTGCCCACATGTCCCTTAAAATAATTTTAACTGGAAGATACTCTAGTCCTTTAAATATAAACAATGGAATCTTAAAATTGTGACTCAGTATACCCACCACCATCCATTAAAGAAAAAACAGGCACACGTTCAGAAAGTTTATATTGTTCCTCTCATCTTCTCCCAACAACAGAATTCTATCTAAATATAGTTTCAGTCTTGAAAGTATTAATGACGATATTATCATTCTTCTCTATAATAAACTTGGAAAAAATGTTTTAGTTCCCTGTAGCCTGAAGGTGCTGTCCAACACAGTAGCCATATGTGGTTATTAAGCATTTGAAAGGTGGCTAAGGAGGCAGTGAATTTATTTTACATACTTTCAATTGATTGAAATTGAAAAGTTTTCTAATTTTCTTCAGAGAAATCTTACACAGTTGTTAGGTTACTTCCAAGTACTTTGTACAAGGGGGCTTCAAAAAGTTCATGAAAAAATTAAGTGAAAAAATAATGGAATTTTTACAGGAAGCTTTTTGAAGGTGCTGTAGGATCAGCACTGAACTGCAAATCACAAGGTCGGCAGTTTAAACGCACCAGCTGTTGCTTGGAAACCCTACACAGGATCACTATGAGTCAGAATGGACTCGACAGCACTTCTCAACAGCAAGTATTTGATGGAGTCCTGGCCTGGTGTGGCGCAGTAGGAAAAGCACTGAGCCACAAGGTTGGTTTGAGCCACAACTGCATTATTCAAACTCATTAGGTGCTCCTTGGAAACCCTATACAAGGTTACTCTGAGTTGGAACCGAACCAACTTGATGGCACTTCACAAGAACAACAATGTATTTGATATTATCTATTTGGGCATAGTGCCTCACCTTTGCAAACTAATTGTACAAAGCTGCAAGCTCTCACTCTCTGTGACCTTGTATACAACATTCCATGGGGAAGGGTGGGTGGATAGGGAGAGAGAAAGGTACAACCTCAATAAAGCTGACACTTACTGTGAGTGGATGTGATCTCTCATCAAAAATATCCAAGGATCTATTTGCATCTCTATAAGAAAAGAATGTACATTTAAAATTTGTATCCAGGAATTGTTAATATCGTAATAAAATATCTGCTGGGACTAGATGGGATTGGAGGGAGACCTTTAGTCTTTAACATAGCAATTTTTCACAAATTCTTCTCTTGGATTTTTACCTCCAAGGGCTTCCTGGCTTCTTTTTAATCAACATAAGTTCTGTAAAACCTTCTCTACAGTGACGAGCCAGAGATGCCTTTAAACAGTGAGCCTCCCTAACATGCACTGTTAGTAGCTCCAATCGATTCCACTTCTCTAACCTCATACTGGGACACACAACAACACGGGTCAAGGCAGCAGTGGCGGGCAGTGAGGTCCTTAGATCTTAAATGAGATTCACATTTCCTAGGTTTTCTGTCTTTTGTTTACAGTATTTCTTCTCTTTTAAATAGTTTGGGTTAAAAAACTTAAATGTCTTTTTGTTTTACAACAGACTAAAAATACAATGTGCTCATTAAACCAGTAATTCCCAAAGGGGGGGGGGGTTCTCTGTGGATCCCTAGGGATGCCTTTTCAGGAGGACCTCAGGTCAAAACTATTTTCTTATTAATACTAACATTACTTGCTTTTTTTTTAGTTTGACATTTGCAATCACTGTATAAAAGCAACAGTGAGTCAAACTGTGGTCTCCTGAACACAATCAAGGCAGTGATACCAAACTGTACTTACTAAGTAGTCATTCTAGTCTTTGTTACTTCACACGTCAGTTTTCAAAAAAGAAAACCAAAAAAATATAGACAAATAATAATAAACCCCTTGATGAAAAGCAGTAAAAATAGAGTTTTAAAATCTTGGACCCATCTTCTTTTAACATTCTGAGTGAGTCAGTGAAAGTGCTCAAGAAGCACTTCTGCAGCTGAAGGGTGACTGCAGTAGAGAACAGCAGATGCAAGCGGAACCAGAGGCTTTTTTCATAGACCATTTTTATTTCAGAGGATGATAGAAGGAGCTATGGTAGCGTAGTGGTTACGAATCGGGCTGCGAACCTGAAGGTCAGTAGTTCGAAACTACCAGTAGCTCCGCGGGAGAAAGATGAGGCTTTCTACTCCCGTAAAGATTTACAGCCTTGGAAACCTTGTACAGGGTCGCTATGGGTCAGAACCGACTCGACAGCACTTAACAACAATGACAGACAAACTATCACTTCAAAGAAAACAATGTAGGCATTTGTTTCCAATGATAAGTCAAGCTTTCCAGCTAAAATTTTGGATCCTGGGAAACTGTTACCTTCTACTATGAGCTTAATGGCTCAACACCTGAGACTTTTCTAATAAGTGAATTTTTGACACTGTAAAATGAAGCGTGAACCAATAGTTCCCAAACAAGCAATGAATACATATTATAAAATCATGTACAAGTAAAAGATTCATTCAACATGCTAGACAGACCAATAGGTGTTAATTTAGCAGAGTATAGTAAGAGTTCGTTGCTGCAGTTTAAAATTCCTTTGTAACTAATTTAAGGAACTATTATGTGTTAGAACCAAAGGATATCCACAAGTATCTGAAGGCTTTTACAATAGATCTTTATTCCAACTATATATATGCATGAAGCTGGGCTTTCTTATCTTGTTTGTTCAAAACAACAAACTGCAGAAGGGCAAAGGCAGAAGTATATTGAACAATCCAGCTGTAAACATGTAAATCAATGACACACTCTTCATTTGCTTAATGGTGGAAAACAAATTTTTTCACAGAAAATTCCTACCAACACAGTGGTTCTCACCCACAGGCGATTTCTGTCCCCAGAGGGCAGTTGGCTCTGCCTGGGGGACAAGTGTGATTGTCATAACAGAGAGTGGGGGATGGTATTAGTATATAGTCAGGAGAGGCCTGTTGTTGCCATCAAGTGTGCAGTGTAGCTGTATCCAATCCATAGTGACCCCCAGGCTTCCCTAGGCAGAAATCTGGATAGGAGCAGATCACCAGGTCTTTTCCCCAGCAGAGAGGCTGTGGGTTCTAACCGCCAGTTAGCAGCTAAGTGCTTAATCAGTACACCACCAGGGAGTGCTCTTGAGGTAGAGGCCAGGGATGCTGCTAAACATCCTACAATGCACTGGGCAGTTTCCCCCAACAAAACTTATTTAGCTCCAAATTATTGTGCCAAGGTTAACATACAATGGATTTTTAAAAAAATTTTAATTCTCAATTTTCTAAAACATTTATTTATGATTTAGGCAACATAAATAAATGCTCTTTGGAGTCCTCAATTATTTAAGAGATAAAAAAAATACTGCTTTCAAAAGTATGTAGACCTAGATGAAATTCTCTGGGAAAGGGTTAAAGAGATAAAAAAAATACTGAGACAATAATAAAAGTCCTGGTGTGATGCACTGGACTGCTAACCACGAAGTCAGTGGTTCGAACCCATCAGCTCCTCCTTGGAAACTCTATACAGGGTTGCTATGAGTCAGAATTGACTGCACGGTACTTAAAAACAACGACCACTTACTCCACTAAACTAGGTATCATGCAAAGTAAACTAGCTGGAATAACAAGGCAGGTTTTCAAAGAGCTCACCTGTTCTTTATGTGGTAATATATTGCTAAGGTCACACTGTGGAGGGAAAAAAAAAATCATTTGTAACAACCGATTTTATCAATTTTAGGCTTGAAGACATTTCATTCAAAAGAGGAGAAGGAGGGCTTCTGTGGCCCCAAAATCTCTTAATTCAGAAGAGTTCCTTAGGAGCACTTGTTCCTTTGTCAGTTCTTCAGCTTTTGGCAGAAACAGGAGAATCAAATTGCTAGGCTATCCATGGTTAGAAGACATCTTTCTGCCGACTATCATGATAAATAAATTACTACATTTAGCTCCTGTCATAGAACCTTTCATCCTGTCCAAGTTATAGCTATTTATATACATGCTTAAGTTTAAGCCATGTAGTAGTATTTATTTTTTGCACTTTTAAAAAAAGTTGGTAGGCACAGCATTTCAACTGACTTCATTCACTATCCATCTTCTTCACCCATTTTGTATTTCCCTAAAAGTAAACAACAAAGGCACTTTATGCCAGATAATCATGCAAAATTACCTTAGCATAATTCTTAGTAGAAAGCTTTATCAGCAAAATTCAAGTACTCCAAATCAGTTATGGGTCTAGCTACCCTCATATAAGCAGTGCTAGCAATGTCTCTGAGTCGGAACTGGCTCAGTGACACTTAACCACGGCAGCAGTGCGGTATATATTAGTACGCTGTAGAATATGAATGGAAACTATTCCTAAATCAGTTCAAATGATCCATTAATAAACAAGATACAACTCCTCAAATACTCCAAGTAAACTGTAATCCTAAATTACCCACAGCTCTGTGTACTAGGGAGCAAAGACTTTCTCTTGGATACATTTTATGTCCTTAGTGTCTAAAATGAAGCTCAAAATAATTGAGGAAGGCAAATCTGAATTTTAAAAGCAGATCTACAGAGTATTAGCACTTTAAGAATTAGCAGCTTTGGTTGGTTGATGATGCATGGAGGGGATTGTAACCATGGCAATGAAATGATATATGATAGGATGAATGAAAAGCTAATGTTCTCCCATATAAACTATCACACAATTCACAATAAAACATTAAAAGAAAAAATTAGCAGCTACTTCTTTGTAAACGTGCTAATGGATTTTAAGATATCTTTTTAATAAACAAGCCACATTATTAGCAACAAAGATGGATACTTCTATAGTGCTTAATACAGTTTCATCTCCAAAAATCACAGAACTGGAAAGTTGTATGCTGAAAAGGACCACCAGATCCCTTACATGCCACTTAATCCTCAAACCCATTTTATAGATAGAGGAACCAAGGCTTAATACTGACTTGCCCAAGGCCTCATCAATGGTCAAAAGCAGCCAGATACTTGACACCAGATTCTTTCTACTATTGGCATCACCTGAGGACCTTTTAAAACGGACTGGCTTCCACTTCTAGACACTTATTTGATTTATTGGCACTGGGTACAGCTTGAGTTTCTTGTTAAATCTCCCCAGGTGATTTCAATGTGCCACAAAGTTTAGGCACCACTGAGTTAGGATGATGACCAGAATCATCTGGAAAGGATTTGTACATATAACTATGCTTCACATCCTTCCCCAACCTATCAAAGGTCTGTGAGTATACAGGTATGTGCAGGAAAGCTTGAACTTGTTTGCAGAAAAGTATTTTGAAAAACAGCTGTGTATGTGATTTTAATATAGTTTACCAATCCCACTTAAAACAAAGCATGTGATTACACCATTTTGAACATTTTGAAAATCTGTTCTAAAAGCCAATTTGCCCTATTAATTTGCTCAGTGAATTTGTTTCATACTGAAAAATGTTCTCAATTATTTTTTTAAACGAATAACAGCAAACTTGCAACATATTGTACTTCCAAAAACAGATTTCTAAAAACTGGAAAGAAGCATAAAACCTAATTGTTTGAAACAACAGCTCATTTAAAAAAAGAAAAACAAAAATCTACTTTTGAATTATATAGTGAAACATTGGAATCTTTTAAATTCAAAAAGACGCTAGAAACTTTCTAGTCTGTTTAGGAGGTAGAGCTTTGGTGAAATAAATGCATTCAGGGCTAACTTGATAGGAGTCAAAGCTCAGGGACCGGTTTTTAATGAAAAACAATTTGATCTTAGCTACTGTTATGGGAGACTTCTGGTGTGGCGCTGTAAGATCAGCACTGGACTGCAAATCACAAGGTCGACAGTTCAAATGCACCAGTTGCTCCTGGGAAATGCTATATAGGGTCACTATGAGTCATACCTGAATCAATGGCACTAAAAACAACTATTATGCGAAGGGAAAATTCCATTATTTTGGTTGTGAACTTATTTGTAATTAAAATACACACTTTAAAAAAACTAGTACATTAGAAATAAAATTAAGTTTATAAATCTTATATTGTTTTTAAAATTGAAATATAAAACTGGGGAGGTGAATATTTAGAGAAGCATTTCCCAAACTATGTTCTGAAAACCAGCACTCATGTCCTCAGGTGAGTGTTTCATAGACAGCCCCAGGGAGCCAAGAAGTGCTCAGAATGTTTCTTACAGAAGCTTGGGATGCTTTGAAATGTACTGTTAAATCCCCTAAAATTAATAATAGGTTTCATCAGCATGACATTGTTCATGTTTGGTTCAATATAAACCTGACCATATAGCTAAGTTTCCAATGCTTCAACTCTTTCATTGATCTCTGTTAAATAAATTTCATCCTAAAGAAATTGAAATTCAAATTTTGTTTATTTTAAAGCTGGCTGGGAAGGAGAACTGAATTTTGATACAGAAGCACTGCAGAGGCAGAAAAAAGGCATGATGGGGAAAAGCTGATAACATGTTATTACCGTTAAATGCAGATACATTCTGGTGCCACTAGGGGACAAACTATCCCTTCTTTCAAGAGTAGCTTCCAAAGTAGTACACACTATTTTAGACCTGTAACTCAGAAAGAACTATTTTTTCCTAGAAATAGCCAATAAAAAGCACCTCAATTCTCATTGTGTTTAACAATGTCGTGACAACACAAATTCATCAAGAGGCACTTCTCCTGAGAGTCCTTATTTACTAAATTGGCTTCTCCTTCTACAATAACCTATAGGATTAAAATGGAAATTGTAATTCATATTTAGGTCCTTGAAATCAAGATACTTGACACCAGATTCTTAAACTACTCACTGAAGGACAACCAAATGACTAAAATGATCAAGTACAGCTTGGCCACTTTTAGCATAGGGGGTCTGTCACTCAGCCTTGGCAACCTAGTTGTACTCACCATTTTATTGTGGTTCTAAGATTAGGTTGGCTGACTGTGCTGTCATCTAGAAATATGGTTGAGCATGAGCTATACTTTTTAGTAAGCTGCCCTGGAGATACCTGAAGGGGAAGGGAAATAGAAGAAAATGTCACCGTAAGTTAAACCTATAAAAGTGTGGTTTTCCTTCCTTAGTTAAAATGTCAAATGGTAAAGCATTAAGAAATTTCTTGCACTTAAGAAATTAAGAAATGAATTGCCTGGGTGTTATGTTATGTATGGTTGGCTATATGGGAATCCCATTAGACATTCTAACTTGCACAGAAAACATCTGAGGACTGAGTTATAAAATGTTGTTCTTGCTATGGAACCTATGGTAATTGAATCTAATATGCATCTATTAAAAATATTATTCATAACTGTTAATTAAAGAACTAAATTCTCCTTCAAACCAGAAATTTTATCTAAGCTCAGGCTTAAGCTATTCTGTTAATGTGTAATTTACTTTTTTATAATTTCAAAAAAAATGCAGCATAAGAAATGAAAATAATGTAAGATGTTTAAAATAAGACTTCAAAGTTTTCCCTTAATAAAAAGCAGATGAAGTTTATGCTGTATCTATGAGTCATTTACTACAATAACAATCGAACACCTGTTGACATGAGAGCATTTTACTGCAGTAAATGAAAGCCAGAAATTAATAAACGAATAAATGCATCTGTTCAGGAAGACAGAGTAATGAACTAGTATCTGGTCCTGTTTGCGAATCTGAGGTTCTTTGTGTCACGATGTTCTGCCCCTACCAGTCTCTCTGGGCCCCCATTTCCATATCTGAAGGATAAAGAGAATATTGCTCTGATTCTCTCACATCCAGAATCCAGATAACAAAGGCAATCATCGGAATGTAACTGCTGCTTCATGTTTTAATAAAACTGCCATTATGTGACTCAAATGAAAGCCTCAGTGAATACTTTCCATTCATTTGAAAATCTTACTCATTTTATTGAGTTATGACACATCAAGAGACTTTCTGCTCATGCTGTTCTCTCTGTCGGCAATGCCCTAATTCTCCTCTCTGTCCCTGCAACTTGATCCCTTCTACCTTCTGAGAACCTCTGCCAACACTCAATTATATTACAAAACTTTTCTTTTGATACAAGTAGGCATACAATTCAACACTTGTGACACTATAGCAGAAATGCTTGCCGGATCCTATCCTAAGAAGATAGTAAACTTTGCCAGACAAAGGAGGAGGGGACTCGTCTATCTCCAGCTTTTAAGGACAGAATCTGGGGCAAATTAGTGTTCAACAAGTATTTGACAAATTATTATTTTTAAAATCATTCACAATATGGGAGGGTAAATCTTAGTATAAATAAAACTACAAGAATTAATGCAGTGATACAGAAGTGGCAATGAATTTATTTAGAGTCCTCTAGGGAAATTAACTTGAAAACACTTTAGAAGTATCCATTTATTTGCAAAGAGTTTAAGAATAAAGCAAGTCAAATACTGAATTAGCCTAAACTATGTAAAGACATTGCTCTTCTTTAAAAATAAGGCAATTATCCAAATTCCAGTCACTTTAAATAGTTGAACATACAACAACATTCTTTAAACAACAGAATAGCAATGATTTTAGGGTATTGTTTTTTGTTTTGCTTTTTAAAAACTATTCAGATGAGCCTTCCTTCCTCCTATTAATATACAGTGAGCTGACTATATGCTGTCACACTCTGCCATCAGGATTCCCCATCAGTACATAAAAGGTAAAGCAGGGGAAGAGCTGGTTGATACTTGTTAAAGGACAGGAGCAATAATCAGAAAGATCTTTGTAATATATAAATGCCATTTTCCTTATTTCAGATTTTTTCTCTAAGACATTATATTTTTAAAAAGTATTACTATTTGGACTTAAGTTCTTCAAGCCAGAACTTTGAAACCGTATCTAAACTCTGATCTGTTTGTTAAGCTATTCAGTTACTGTGTAATTTTCAGTTTTCATTCTGTATTAGCCTCAAATATATACATACAGAATGAAAACCAATTAATTCTTCAAATACTTTATTGTAAGTGAAAGGATGTATCTTTTAAAATCATTACAAGTAGGGGATAGTAAGTCATGTGACAACTTCAGGATAAGTACGGGACTACTATCCACTAGCCGAGTGGTTCCAATCTACCAGCTGCTCCTCTGAAACCCTATGCAGGGTTGCTATGAGTTGGAACTGACCCAACAACACTTAACAACAATTTCAACATTAACAGGAACATACATGTTTTGTAGGACGAACACTGCACTGCGTACTGCAAAGCCAGTGGTCTGAGCTCACCAGCCCCTCCAAGGGAGAAAGTTCTCTGTTCCCAAAGATTTACAACTTCAGAAACCCTACACAGGACCGCTGAAGTCAAAACGAATTTGATGGCCTTTACCAACTGCATTATAATAAAAGTCAATTCTGACAAAAAAACCAACATACAGGGAAACAGAAAGAAAATGTAGACTAGTTAGTAGAGATTTAGGTAATATTTTCTCCCATTTTTCTCTATTTTTTTTCCTATTATGAATGACTAAAAAAATATAAATGCTGCTCTCATAGCCCGATAGGGTTTAGTGGATTTTTAGTGATTAATGAATCAGCATCTTCTGGTCTACTGACTAGACACAGTCAAAGAAGGAATTTCCCCCATCAGCCGAAGGCCTATTCTAAACATCTGCTTCAAAACAGACTGACGAAATACCCATTTCAGAGAAATGGCTCAAAATGGACTGTCTCCAAGAAAAACCTCTAGATACTGCCATTGTTTTTGTTGTTAGGTACTGTCAAGTTGGTTTCGACTCATAGTGACCCTGAATAGGGTTTCCTAGGAGCAGCTGGTGAACTTGAGCTGTTGACTTTGCAATTCAAACTGACTTTGTAGTCCAGCGCCACACCAGGTCACCAAATGGAAAGCTGGTTTGTTGTCCCCTGACCCCAACCCCTAGGAAGCCATCAGTTAGCAAATCCTGTTCACACACGGTGTTTCTAATGACTGTGCTTTTACACAAATAATGCATGTACTATATGGTTTTTAATTTTCAGTAAGTCGTGCAGTCCCTCGTGTTAGTTTCCCATGTGCACTTTTCATGTGCATATTACTTGTGAAAAAAATAATAATAATCAATTTTAAGAGACCACCAGAAACCACCACACATGAGAAAAGCCTCCAACAAGAAAGCTAGATCAAAACAGGAAATTGGAATCAGATGGGAGTGATAAAATTCAGAATAAACCCCACAAAAACTATCCTTAAATACCTTCAGAAAGATGAAACATTGTATTGCCAAAAGATTCAGATGCTATAATGCAAGAATGACAGCATAGAAGAAAACTCTTTAAATTAAAAATGGGGTAGACAGAACAAAGCATTCATAGAAGACTTAGAGCATAAAGTCCAAGAAAATCTCTAGAGAGTAGACAATAGACAAAATGGGAGACTGAAGACAAAAAAGTCAGAGATCAGTACAGGAATACTTGTCTAGAAGGTCCAACATCTGAGTAACAGAGAGCATATAAAAGATATACAAGAAATTCAATAAAGAGTTAACATCTGCACACTGAACATCTCCAACACAATGAAAAATCCACACCAAAGCACATAACTATGAAATTTCAGAAGTATTCAATGTTTCCAGAAAAGGAACGTGAGAAAAGTGATTAAACTAGGTATTTACAATTTATTATACATTGGCAACTAATTTAAGAGAAACAGTATAATCCACTACCCCTTAATTAATTGACAGAGTTAGATTCTAAAGGCCAGGTCATTAAACAAAAATTAGCATTGTACAAAAATGGAAGATGTTCAAACATCAGTAAACAACTGACAAACCACTGAGAACCATGACTCGGCCAAGCTGACACACAACCTTGACCATCACAGCCAGTGCTACTCTCACCTCACACCAAGGTGCTCAGACGGCCACAGTACATCATTAATGTGTAAAACAGTTGGAAACTGGCTTTTCACTATTGTCACAAATACGAAATGTCAGATAATAAGTAACCAAACAGTGTACCAAATAGGACACTTTTCAAACAGGACAGATTTCTGAAAATTTGTGTGCTTGGGTAATGTGCTCCAATAAAATGAGGCAGTGTAAAAAACAGAAGGAAACACAGGCTCTAGAATATAGATAATTCATCATCATAAGCAAGCAGTTACAAGAGAGTCCAGATGACTTCAAAGATGTGGCCATCCCAGGTTATCAGGCACAAAGCAGACCTAAGGAAAAACCAGTCTATATTGGAACACAGTGACAGAAGGCTGGAGGTTATCTCCAAAAAAGAATGAAAAAAAAAAAACCCCAAAACACGAACAGAAACAAATTTTAGTAGATGGAAAACAGTTTTGATAGGCATGTGACAAATGTTACAACATCTGGAGGGTAAATAACTGATAGAAAAAAAGCAAGTGAAGAATAAGAATACAGTCAAGAAATTAATTCCACAATAGGGAGGATTTTATCTGGAAAAAAGGGAGAAGAGCCAGGAAGATACTGCACTGGGCGTGTGAAACAGAATGTTTGCTAGGCAAATGGGGATTGGGGATTACTTTGGAGAAGAGCAAAAGTACTCAAATTTCAGAAACACGTGCGACAGAAACATTGGCAGGACTTGGAAAGGGGGAGTGGGGTGGATGGAGACGTATAAGGAAGCGGGCAAGACTACTATTTGAGTTAGTGAACAATATCTGCACAGAACTAATAATGCAAACATTGATTACTGATTTAATAAACACTGGGCTACATGCCCAGGGAATGGGGGGAGGGAAATAAGGTCACTGTGGAGTGAAGAAGCTAAGTTCACAGCTACTATGACAGTAACTCAACAGTGAGTGCTAAAAACTGACTATGCTATTATTATTCTGTTCCTCTGATTAAAAAAAAAAAAGATGAAAAATTTAAGGCAGATCATTAATTTTGTGATAGAAATTTAATTTAAATGTCAGAAGCAACCCTTAAAAATGGGCATTACACTAAGCCAAAAACACTTCTGAATAAAATTTGATGCTTAGGAAGACAGAGGAGATTTAAGAATATCCAGAGTCTCAGGTGGACCATAATTATTTATTAGGAATCATACTGCAGACATACTTTGAATTCAAAGCATTAATTTCCTACTTAACTTTTCAACTGTGTACTTACATGGTTTAAATGGTTGCTCTTCCTCTTTTCTCGCACTAAGAATAAAAAAAATTAACTGATCAATTGATATAAATGCCACAAAAAATTAAAGTCGTAGTTACTTATCTGACAAATTACCAATGTACGAGAGAAAAGTTACATTCACTTTAAAAAGAATTAGCAGCAAAATTCATAATTCAAATTATCAGGCAAGACCAGATCCATCAATTAAAATCTAAAAACTGAGTTTTTTATTTTGACCTACCAAATATTCTATATTAGGTACAAATGAAGGCATCTCCAAGTAGGTTATTAACTACCTAAATCCTTACCTGCAGCATACAGAACCACTACCTAGTAGAAATTTTCTAAATCTACATTTTCTCACAGCTGACAGCACTAGGAAGCAGGCTCTGGCCAGGCACTAAATTCTACATGCATCAGCATCTCTGAAACATACTGAATCACTTATCAGTAATCTACTAAAATAATAAGTTGCTAAAAGATAAACGGAATTTATCACACAACTGGAAACTCACCTAACCTAGCTTATGTCTGAAAATGTGTGTGCTAATCCAATTCACATGATGTCTACAGCACATAAAATCATTTTGCTCCAGCTAAGGCCAGAAGAGAAATAAAAGCTCCAAAAGTGGCCTTGGGCTACACTTTGTTTCCCAGGCTGCCTCCTTTAATGCCACACAGGCCTGATAGGCATGCACTTCTTACACAGAGAGGTGCATGGGGTCACCTTTCCTTTACTGCATCAACACTCTCAATGTGAGAGAGCAGCGCATGGTTCTCTAAGAAACCGAGAAACACAATAATCCTAGTCAGAAAAGATCAGCTCACAATAGGCAAAGTAAACCATCAAAATTCAGGTTAGAAGTCCCCATTATTTATTGTGGTGCCCTACTTCAGAGATACGTCCCATAGTCTTCCACTGTCATAAAGTAATCACCTGGAGAGCTTGGTCATGTAGGGCTCTTTAGCAAATAAACCTTGATTTAGCATTAAAATAAGTAGGCAAGGAAGAGAGCTGAAAATTCTGTAGTTCAGAATCTCATCCTTGTATCAGCAGAGCACAGGAAATGGTCATTAGTTTCATACAGTAACACACATCTTCCAGTAAACATCTGAGAGCATGTCTGCTCTGATGCACCCTGGATGCTAAAGCACTGTGCTAGGCACAGCATTACAATAGGACAAAATCTGAAGAGTATAAAAGATCTCATTAGCATAAATGTTAACGGGAGATAGGCTTATTTGGTTAATGTGTAATATGAAGTAAAACTCACAGATTCAATTCTCATTTGATTTTTTGATGTGTTCAAACAAAAACTTAACTGCAACCTAAATCTCGGTCTTTTTTTTTTTTAATGTGTGGTTTATTTCAGAGTTTTGGGGAAAATGGCAAAGGAGTATGGAGAAATAAAATAAATCGATAACCAATACTACAAATCATGTGGCCAGTAAACTGTGTTCATAAGACCTGTGGCAAATGTATGAACAGAAAGTCTGTGATTCTCCTCACTAAAACTGTGATAACTTAAGGAAAGTATAAAATCACAAGTTAAAATAAGGCAAATTAAACTTCAGGAAAAGTATAAAATCACAAGTTAAAATAAGACAAATGAATATATAAAGTGAGAATTTTGAACCAAGGCATGCATGTGAGCCTCTAAATATATTACTTTCTATAATACACAAATATCACAAAATAAAGACTGAGTTTTTTACTTTTCCCCTAGGAAGAAAAATAACATTATCTTACCATCAGTCTGAGATTTGCTCAGGAAAATTGTGCTCGCCCTTGGATGATCAGAAGGGTTTGATTCAAATGCTAAATCTATATAGAGAGACAAGAAAAAAGTTGACAATTTAGTTGAGTACAAAAATATCACTTTTAAATAGCTGCATACCAATTTTAATTTAATCTTTAACAGTCTTAAGAAACATTTTTAGTAATGAACACAAAGCAAGTAAAGGCAGTAATGTAAAATTTCTACTGGGAAACTGCAAAGTACTACAATTTCTCCATGTATATGGAATAAAACTAGAGTACCTCTTAGACTTTTAAAAACCCTGAACCTAAATAACCTGATTAAATTTTTATATGAACCATATACATGCCATTCCTCATTATCATCAATATGGAACACAATCACACTTCTCTAGGCTGTTATTTCTAGCATATTCAAGAAGCAAGTGATATTCTTCGCCAATTAATGTTAGACTCCTGGTGTGGTGCTGTAGTATCAGTGATGGACTGCCAACCACAGGGTCGGCGGTTCAAATCCACCAGCTGCTCCTCAGAAATCCTATAGAGGGTCACTATAATTCTACTCAAGTGCCAACAAGGGCCTTGAGCTATACTTTTGTTTCCCAACCTGCCTCTCCTTTAAAGTCAGGCAGGCCTGATAGGCATGTCATCTTCTCCTTACAGAGAGGAGCATGGGATAGCTTTTCCTTGACTGTTTCCACAAACTCTCTATATGTGAGAGTAGCCCACGGCTCCATACGAAACTGAGAAATACAACGATCCTAATCAGAACTTATATTCCTCACACGAGGGACACTGGCAGTTCAGCGGTAGATTCCCGGCCAAATGCCTCCCTCCCCACTAAGCACACACACACCCCTCTATCAGTGGAGGCTTACGTGCTGGAAGGTGAATGGGTTTTAGCAGAGGTTCTAGACTAAGACAGGAAGACAAACTAAGAAGAAAGACCTGGCAACCTAATTCTAAAACATCAGCCAAGGAAAACCCCATGATCACAAGAGTCCAATCCCACCGTGCACTGGGGTTCACCATGAGGCGGGGTTCAACTTGACATCAGCTAATTCATTGCAGCATTTAAACTGCTATTGTTGTTAGGAGCCATCGAGTCGGCACCAACTCATAGCGACCCTATGCACAGCAGAACGAAACAATGTCCAATCCTGGGCCATCCTCACTACTGTTGCCACCCTTGAATCCTTCAATGCTGCCACTTGGCCAATCCATCTCATTGGGGGTCTTCCTCTTTTTTTCTGACCCTCCATCTTACCAAACATGATATCCTTCTCCAACGATTTTTTCCTCCTGACAATATGTCCAAAGTATGAGAGACAAAGTTTGACCATCTTGGCCTCAAAGGCGCACTCTGGCTGCACTTCTTCTAAAACGGATCTATTGGTTCTTTTGGCAG